TGGCATGTGGTGCTGGGGGATTGAACCGCGGTCCCTGATGCCTTGCCAAGCTTGTTCTAAGTAGGTGCTTTAGACCACTGAGCCATCTCTCCAGCCCCTAGTCATCTTTCAAAGCCAGTTTTGTACTATTAATTCTCCCTCTCAGGAGCATTTGCTCAGTTCTGTTTCTGATATTGGGGTGCCTTAGAAGTAACTGTAATACAAATGCAAACACAGAGACCCCAGATTAATAATAGTACCAGGAGTTAGAAGGCATATTTCCAGCAGAGTTTCTAGCAAGATCCCAGAAGAGACATGAATGGATTCATCACCTATCTCTGAGAGGTGAATAAAAAAAAAAAAGAATTGGGGGCTGGAGAGATGGCTCAGTGGAATAAGTGCTTCCCTGGCAAGCGCAAGGGTCTGAGTTCAATCCCCGGTTCCGCCAAAAAAAAAAAAAAGAAAAGAAAAGAAAAAAAATCCTTCTCAATTTGGGGGGGGGGGCGCCTGTTGGTTAGCTCAGTTGCTTAAGCGCCTGCTCATGCAAATGCAGTCAGGCTCAGGATACTTCGGTTCCAACCCCACCTCCACCTGCCTTACCAGACCCGCCCTTAAGGCAGACTGAGCCAGCCCCCCCAAAAGAAAATCCTTCTCTGATTGGTGACTAATGATTTCCTCATGTCTAATTTAAAGCAGAACCAGGTGTAGATCCTCTTCATACCTGACATGTTGGTCTTTTTCTTTTGGGATTTTATGTTTTGGGGAAGAGTTTATGACTCTCCTCTTTTACATCAAAGAATGATCTGATCTTACTATTAGTATGTATAAACACAAACATATCTCAGGGAGCCGGAGAGATAGCTCAGTAGAAAAAAGAATAAGTGCAAGGGCCTCAGTTCAATCCTCGGTTCCGCCAAAAAATAAAAAATAAAAAGAAATAAGTAAACTCTTTTTGGGCCAGGGAGATGACTCAGTGGAATAAGCACTTTCCCGGCAAGTGCAGGGGCCTGAGTTCAATCCCCGGTTCCACCAAAAAAAAAACCCAGGTGAGGAAAAGTACATAAACATTGCGTGGACCCGCAGATAAGTATTCACACTACTTCGTTCTACTTCCTCCTTGCCACACTATAGGCTTGGATAAAATCGAGTTTCTTCAGAGCCACGAGAACCAGGAGATCTACCAGAAGGCCTTCGACCTCATTGAGCACTACTTCGGTGTAGAGGATGATGATGGCAGCCTGGCTCCTCAAGTAGATGAAACACAGCAGCAGTTCATCTTCCAGCAGCCTGAGGCCCCCATGGAGGGCTTCCAGCTATAATGTCTGCCTCCGGGGAGGGGAGGGGACGGGAAGCACCACCAGCCAGTGGTAGCGCAGCCCTCTGGTGGGCAGGAAGCCAGCCCCCACCATCACCTGCTGCCCTGGAGACTGTGCTCCGGACCTGCACCGCCCCCTTCCCTGGAGGGAGGCCCTCTGGACAGACGGAACCATCTGAGGCTCACATTGGGTTTTGTGACGAAAAGGGGACATGTTGGGGTTTTCTTCCTTACACTATATTCTGGCTGCACACATGTCTTTAACCCAGGAGCCTAGGGGTAGACAAAGGAGGACTGAGGTAATCATTTTGCACCTTTCTTTTTTTGTTTTGTTTTTCTTTAATGGTGACTTCCTTTATCTCCCTTCATCCTTCCCAGTCCTCTGCCCTGATCAATGTAACTCTTATTTTGGGTACGTGAGCAGATGGAAAATTCCAGACGGGAGGGAAGGGGACAGGAGGGGACGGGAGAAATCCAAAACAAAGTGTTCTTGCTCTGACGGAATAGTAATCTTGTATGCTTGGATTGATTTATTTAATTTTTTTCTTTTGCACATTTTTCTTGTATATTAAGGTTGTTCTTCCCAAGAGGTGTGAGTTTCTGGTTTTAGGAATCCCAGCTGCCAGCACTGCCTGGGACTAGGGGCTGATGGGGAGGCCACCATGAGACAAAGGCCCCTGCTTCTCTTACCTTCTTCCTGGACCTCTTAAGTTCAGGATACACCCTCACTCTTCTGAGCCAAGTACACCAGTGGGAGTGGAGGGGAGGAGTACAGGCTTTCAGATAGGGCTTCTTATGTGTAGCTACTGACCCCATGTTTCCTACCCACCTTCCAAATGGTGCAACCCAACTTCATTTTTTACTTGAAAATTTCCCTCAGAGTGAATGCACCTCTGAGGTGACTGTATTTTCTCCTAAGCTCAAGACAGGGGGCTGGGATCCCTCCTTTCTACTGAGGAGAAAGTTCTTGCTCTGGTGACCTAAGTTGCAGAGAAAGTTGAAGTGAGACTGCCTGGTATTGGGATAGTCAGGGATCCCTGCCTTTCGCCTTTCTTCCTCTTCCATAGTTGGATCATGTATATTTTACTTCTAAAGGAGAGAATGTCAAAATGTTCTGTATTTTTCTATATTCTATATAGTAAGTAGGGTAATCTTAATTGGTCTTAAAAAGGAGAAACTGTCTAATTTTTGTGATTAGTATATTGTGAGGAAGAGCAGAAAGATATATGGAAGCCTCCCACTCAGAAGAGCTGAGCTTGTTCCTTTTCCTGTCTGTTGGATTCTAGGCCAAGACCTGGGACCAACCCTCAGCTCTGCATCCTTTAAGCAGATCAGCCACCAGGATCTATTATTCCTATCTGTGGAGGGGACAAGGGCAGCCCCAGGGCCTAGTGAAATCTGCCTCACTGGTCCTTCCTGCTGAGCATCTGCTTGTATCAGGAAACCCAGAAAGTAGTTTGCGTTCCCAAATACAGTTTCAAAGGCTGTTACCCATGCACATCACCACACACAGCTGCCTCTCTTACGGAAAAACAGCAGCTCTTGGGAGAGCTGTTGGTATCTTCCCTGTTTGGGATCCTTGGCCCTGTTTTGGGTTTTCCCTTCCTTGTGACAGTTATAACCCAAAGGTCTCTTCTCCTGAGCAAAGCTAGTGCGGTACTTTCTGGGTTGGGTTACCCATGATAATAAAGGGGGATAGGGTGGGCCAAAGATGCCCTACTCCTCATCGCATCCCCAGCAGTGTTAGCCAGGGGACTCTGCTCTTAGGCTATGCCTCTCCTTCCCCTGAAACAGTGCCGCTCTAGCTTCCATTCTTAGCTATTCCTTCTTGGTTCAAGTGAAACCTCTACCCCTTCATTTCCCTTGTAGATCTAAAGTTCACCCTCTTTTTTTTTTTTTTTTTTTTTTTTTGGCCTTTTGTCTTAAATTTATCCTCCTTCTAGTGTTGAAATCCCCTTCCAGGGACATTTTCTAAGGAAGGTGGCTTAGGGTGAGAAGTTCATTCGGAAGACTCACACAGCTATTCACTACCGTGGTGAGTCAGGTGCCAGTCATGCACTTAGGAGTGATGACAAGGAACTTCTGATTTCCTAGGAAGGCAAGTGACAGGGTCCTTCTCACTAAGCCTGCTGTCTCCATTACAAAACAGTTCTCACTGGATGTGGTGGCACACTACCTGTAGTGCCAGCACCTGAAGGCTAAGGCCGGAGGATCGTATCAAGCTCAAGGCCAGCCTGAACTGCACAGCAAGACCTTCTGTTATTTAAAAAAAAGAAAGAAAAAAAGAAAAAAGAAAGATTCTCCATAGTTCAAAGAAAAAGTTACCACTACGTCCTTGTGAAAGAGCAGAGCAGTTTAATAGGATATACTTTGTACATCTCAAGCAACATTTAACTCCCTGACCTTGGAGCCATAGTCTTAGTATTGGACAGAAATGTCCTGCTTTTCCAACTACTCCTCCAAAATCTATTTTGGCTTCAGATCTGGGTCCTGTACCAGATGGAAGACTCATTTTTGGTCATCTGGGTGCTGCTTAAATCCAGTTTTCTCCAAAGATTTCAAAGGCTAAATTCTGCTGGGGGCACAATATGAGAAAAGATTTAAGAAAAAAATTATTTCTAGGTCTGGGGAGATAGCTCAGCAACATAAGCGCCTGCCTGGCAAGCATAGGGCCTGAGTTTGATTCCCAGTATCAAAAAAAAAAAGAAAAAGAATTTCTAGAAGCTTTCCCTTATGTATTCCCCAGACTATGTTTCTCCCTTACCTTCCTAATCCCCTTTCAGTTCACAGGTAAAGTTCTTCAGCCCACAGAGGCAGTAACCTCCTATTGTACCTTCTGTCCTTTGGCAACTTTATGAAGATCTAGTCTCTGAACACACCCTTGCCTAAGTGAAGCCAAAGCCTTCTGGCAGGTTTCTGGATGGTTATTGCCAGCATGAAGGGGCCCCCTTGCCTGCAATAGAGAGTAACCTGATAAGCTAAAGTTTTTTGAACCCTCATGTTGAAACATGGCTTATATACCTATATTTTTAAGATTTCTGATGGGGGTGAGAATATCTAGGTATGGAATAAAACAAAAGGGCTTTTGGCTCACGTGTTCAAGCACTGCCAGATATTCTTTTTTTGCCAGTCCCTGTAAGCATTCTTCCCCCCAATCTTACCTAGTACTTACAGGGTCTGGCCTTTGAAGCCTGCTTTCGGTCTCCTGAGATCTGAGGTGACCAGTTGGCTTTGATGTTGGCTGCAGGTTTCTGGTAGAAGCACATGTGTTCTGCCCTCACCCTGCCAGCCTGCTTTGTTGGGTCTGCGGACACAAATGATCCACTGAGGATCAGAGGTTGATGACCCTGTTCTCCTTTACCTGGAACCCTTAGGTCTACTAGTTCAACCCTGTTTACCCTGGAAGCTTTTGTCTCCCAGGAACATTTTTCATTTTTTTATATAAGCTAAACTGCACAGATTATAGCTGCTGTACTTAATTTGAGCAAAAAAGAAAGACTCTTAGGTATAGATTCTCTAGCCAAAGGAGTGGAAAAGGAAAACTGTCTAGCAAAATGAGCTGTATTTCCATATTCTCATGTCTGTGCCTGAGAGGCAGAGGAAAACCAGGCAGTACTAACTTTACCCCACATGTTCCCTTTTAAAGACCCCCATTTTATTCAGGCCTCATCTTTCAACCCTTTTACTCAGTTAGGTATCCAGTGTTATGTGTTCCTCATAGTAGATGTAAGTTGTAGGCGCAGATGGTCCTCCAGTCCCTGCAAGCATTCCAGTGATCCAGTAGGTATGACAGGGTGCTTAGGGGCCTTGCTGATGGGCTGGGAAAGAATACAAGACTTAGTGCACTGAACCACAGGAAATGCACTTATGACTAGAAGTAGCATCTTGCAGATCGTACTGCCCTAGAAGCTAGTGGAGGTGAGACTGACAGATTGCTCCCAGTGGGTTTTTTGTAGCCATATAGGATTGCACATTTTAGACCAACCCCATCCAGTGTTTTATTTGTTGGATTATTTGTTAAACTGTCAAACTGAGAACTTGGCTCCTTAGGGATCCATATGGTTGCCACCGGCTGCTTTTGGGGACATGCCTTCAAAAATGATTTAAGTCATCCCATTGTCCCCTAGTCTCAGAATATACAAACGTGGGCAAGACGTTGTTGTCAAGGCCAACCACATCTATGAATTTTCCTCCAACAGGGCATTTTGCTTGAGGCCTGGACTCTGCAGGACCAAAGCTGGCTTTGAGAGAAATAACTGTTAAACTGGGGCCCAGAGCAGCCTAGGAGAAGGGTTTGTTTTGTCTTCAAGGGCTAGCGAGGCCACCCTACCTACTTCTGGAGGGCCAGCCTAACTTCTAACGCCCACCATAGCCAAACCTGCGTTAGCCACTTTCTTAAGTAGGTCTGATTTCAAGCCCTGGGTTAGAGAAGAAAACTGTACTATGTCCAGAGGGCTGTGAAGTAAATCAAGCTGAAGTTCTGACCTATCCTTGGAAGAAGTCCACTGTATGAACACTTGGATCTTGGAGTTGGACTTTTTTTTTTTTTAAGTTAGCTTTTCTAGCAATTGCCTTTAACTGGCCTTAAGGGAAGTTGTAGGGTTTGAGCCACTCAACAGACAAGATGTCCTCCAGTAACAGCTTGGCTTTCTAGCGGAAGATCCTAGGGAAGTGAATCAAATCCTCTTTACTGGTTTTTCTTTCCAAATTCATTTGCTTTTATTTTTCTAAAAGCTATAAGCTTTGGCCATTTTCCATGATCTCAGGGCCCCTGGGTAGACAAAGCTTGATTTCAAAGCAGACATAGGCCAAGAAATCATGGCATTGAGTGTGCTGAGTCCAGACAAACAATATTTATATACACATCCAAATTTGAAGAGAAATGTATTTCTTTAGGTTTCAAACACTGTAATAGATAAAAAGCAAAATAAAAACCTGTCACAAAGTTCTAAATTGTCTTCTTTTGTTTGGGGTGCCCCTGGACTAGATATTTTTGGAAGCAAAGAGGGTATTTAAATTTATTTTATTTTATTTTTTTCAGTTTTATTGATAAACAGCAATGAGACAGTTTCAAATCAAATCGGAAGTACAGTTTCAACAAATAATACACTGCATATATTCTTCTTAGTGGTTAATTGCTGTACAAGATGCAGACTTGTGATCCTATTTACAAACACCATTAGAACAAATCATTCTATTCATTAAGAGAATGCAACTATATATCTATCCCAACCACTTTGAATACACAGATACAAAATGGACATTCATAGGTATAGGGTATTTAAATTTAGCAGGACAGGGCTGGTGAGATGGCTCAGTGGTCTAAAGCACCTACTTAGAACAAGCTTAGCAAAGCACAGGGACCACGGTTCAATCCCCCAGCACCACATGCCAGCCAGCCCCGCCCCCTGGTGGGCTGAGCTGGCCTCACACACACAAAATAAATAAATAAATTTTTTAAATAAATACATAAATTGAGCAGGACATGGTGGCGCTCACCTGAAATTCCAGTACCCAGGAGGCTAAGGCAGGAGATCTTTGTGAGTTCGAGATGAGCCTGGGCTACAAAGTGAACTCAAGGCCAGCCTGAACTGCATAGCAAGAGCCTGTCTGAGACAAAAAAAAAAAGGATTGCCAGAAATTTTGAGGCCAGCCTGGGCCATACAGTGAGTTCAAGACCAGCCTGATATAAAAAAGACCAGCCTGAACTACATAATAAGACCCAATCTCAAGCACAAAGGGCCAGGTATGGTGACACATACCTGTAATCCCAGCACTTGGGAAACTGAGGCAAGAGCATTGCTGTGAGTTTAAAGCCAGCTTGAGCTACATAGTGAGTTGAAGATCAGTTTGAACTGCATAAAACTCACAAAAAAAGAAAAAAAACTTGAGCCTTCAATGTAGCTCAGCGGGTGTAGTGCCTGTCTGGCAAGAGAGAGACCCCGAGTTCAATTTCTGATGCCAAAAAAAAAAAAAAAAAAAAAAAAACCTTAGGCTGAAGATTAGAATTACACCATCTGGGTATAGTATGTGTCGAGGGTCACAAGTTGCAGCCTTCTCTGGACATCTTAGCACCAGTCTCAAAAAAAGGGCTGGAATTTTTTGTTTTTTTAATTATTATATTAGGGAAGGATCAGGGTATTCAGGGTCTCACTACTAGACCAGACTCATAGTGATCTTCCTGTTTACAGCCTCCCAAGAGCTGGGATTACAGGCATGCGTCACCACGCCCAGTCTTAATTGCCATCTCAGCGCCCTAGGGGCAGGGCCTGCAAGGCAGGCCTGAGGATCAAACCCTCAGCCCCTGTGCCTACTTGCAGGAACTCTAATTTGCTGAGCTATTTGGCCAGTCCTAGGGCTAGAAGTTTCTTAAAAGAAGGACTAGAGATGTAGATCAGTGCAAAGGCTCTGGGCTCAATTCCCAATAATGCAAAATGAAAAGACACCAACTTTAAATAAATAAATGTTTAAAAAAAAAAAAGGGGGGGGCTGGCGAGATGGCTCAGTGGTCTAAAGCACCTACTTGGAACAAGCTTGGGAAAGCACAGGGACCGCAGTTCAATCCCCCAGCACCACATGCCAGTAGGCCCGCCCCCTGGTGGGCTGAGCTGGCCACACACACACACACACTAAATAAATGTTAAAAAAAAAAAAAAAAAAGGACACCCAACTTATTAGTGTTGTAAAGGGTTTTTTTAATTGGCTTTATTAAAACTCAGGCCAGGGGCTGGGCAGATAGCTCAAATAGCTCAGTAGAATAAGCACTTGCCTGGCAAGCGCAGGTCCTGAGTTCAATCCCTGGTACCAAGGGGGGGAAAAAAAAAAAAACCCTCAGGCCAGGCTGTAGTCCCAGCATTCAGGAGGCTGAGACAGGAGAATTGCTATGAGTTCAAGGCTAGCCTAAACTCCAGTGAGATCCTGTCTCAAAAAAAAAAAAAAAAAAAAGATACAATTTGACAAGACATTTGCATCTATGAATGCATTACATACACCGTATATCTCTATCACTTCAGTAAGTTTCTCTCTGCCCTCTTGAGGGCTCCCTCCTTCCAGCCACACCCACAGCAACTACATACTGATCTGTGTTTTGTCATGAAAGTTTAGTTTGCACTAAGAGTATCTAACTGCACTTTAGACTGCTAAGCTATCTCGACAGTCCCTCTCCAGAGTATTTTGTAAAAGGCGAAAGATTTATGTGATCTGAAGAGAGACCAGAGTATCTCTCCAAAGTATTTTGAACAGTCCCAATTCAGCTCTACCGCACAGCTCTTTGAGTTGAACTCCTCCCTTCAGTTTATTTTTTTAATCTTTTATTAGGTTTTTTCTTTTTTCTTTTTTCTTTTTTTTTTTTTTTTTTTTTTTGAGACAGAGTCTCAGTATGCAGCGTTCAGGCTGGCCTAGAGCTCACTTTATAGCCCAGGCTGGCCTCGAATTTGTACAATCCTTCCTCAGCCTCCTGAGTGCTGGGATTACAGATGTGCACCATCTCGCCCACCTTCTCCCTTCAGGGTACAGCAGAGATTGCAGTGAAACAACCAAAAAACTTAGAGGCTGGTGAGATAGTTCAGTAGGATAAGCACTTGCCTGGCAAGTGCAAGGTCTGGAGTTCAATCCCCGGTACTGTAAAAAAATAAAATACAAACACTGGTAGACTCCACAGGAAACTTTTAGTTACCAAATATGGTCTGTTGGGGGCCTGCCCCTTAGTTCAGTTCTTTAAGTGGCTGCTTCAACAAAGCAATCAGGCTCAGGTTGCTGTGGTTCAATCCAAATATGGTCTGTTGAAGTTTTGTCACTTTTTTTTCCTTCTGTTTGTACCAGGGATTGAATTTGGGACCTTGCGCTTGCCAGACAGGCATTTACACCCTAAACTACATAATGAGACCCAATCTCAAAAAAAAAGGGGGGGGGCAGATATGGTGACACACACCTGTCATCCCAGCACTCAGGAAGCTACACCTAGACCTGTATCTTTTTTTTTTTTCCATTTATGTATTTGGTACAGGGTCTCACTATGCAGCTCAGACTCATAGTGATCCTCCTGTTTTTCAGCCTTCCTAGCACTGGGATTACAGGCATGCATCACCATGCCCAGACTCAGTCGCTGGCTCAGCACACCTGGGGGCAGGGCCAGCGCGACATGCAGGACTGGGGATCGAACCCTGGTCCCTGCACTTGCCAAAGCAGGCACTTAGTCCGCTGAGTTATCCCACTGGCCCTCAATATATTATTTTATTGCAAAACAAATTAATTAGGATTGGAATTCAGGATCTTCGATCTTTATACAGAGCTACATACCAGCCCTCCTGCCTCCCCTTGGGACACCCTTTTGCTAAATTGCTAAATTTCCCCAAGCTGAGCTGCAACTTTTGCTCCTCCTGCTTAGCATCTCAGAGTGCCCATGTTTCTGTCAAGTTTATGGATCACTGTTGACCCTTCCTGCCACACCTTCCACTCCATGCATACCTTTTGCTTAATAGATTTCTTTAGAATGCCTTTAGGGGCCAAGGTGATAGCTCAGTAGATTAAGTGCTTGCCTGGCAAGCACAAGGGCTTGAGTTCAATCCCTGATTCCACACACACAAAAAAAAAGAATGCCCCCTTCCTATGGAAAGCCATCAAGGTCTAATTTATTTTTTTTAATTAATTTATTTATTTTGGTGGAACTGGGGATTGAACTCAGGCCCTTGTGCTCACCGGAGAAGCACTTATTCCACTGAGCAATCTCCCCAGCCCCTTAAGGTCTAATTTATATATTGCCTTTTCAAGAGCCTTTCAATATGTCTTTCTGGATGTAATCATAGCCCTGATTTGAAGAGAACTAGATTCCAAGTCTTTTTTTTTAACATTTATTTATTTGTGTGTGTGTGTGTGTGTGTGTGTGTGTGTGTGTGTGTTTCTGGCCAGCTCAGCCCACCTGGGGGCGGGGCTGGCTGGCATGTGGTGCTGGGGATCGAACCGCGGTCCCTGCGCTTTGCCAAGCTTGTTCCAAGTAGGTGCTGTAGATCACTGAGCCATCTCACCAGCCCCCACAAGTCTTTATGAGCCTCAATCGCATCTTTTTTTTTTTTTTTAATGTATTTGGTTGTTACAGGGTCTCACTACACAGCTTGGACTCATAGTGATCCTCCTGTTTTCAGCCTCCCTAGGGCTTGGATTACAGGTGCGCACCAACATGCCCTGACTTGATGGCTGACTCAGCCTGTCCTGCGGGCAAGGCTGGCTCATCAAGGGTGCCCATGATCAAACCGTGGTACCTGTGCTTGCCTAAGCAAGCACTTCAGTCCACTGAGTTATCCCATTGGTCCCTGCATCCTCTTTTTATACCAGATTGCTTCTCAAGGTTATCTGGTAAGAATTCATCTTGGTGCCTCTTAAGGACTGGACAAAACACTGCAATGAAGTCTCTTTAACTGAGTCTTTAGGGAAAACATAACATTTTAGCTCTAAACATGTTCCAATTAACACAACAATTTTTTCCTCCCCACCTCATGTGATGCTAAGTCTCTAAGACTAGACAGAGACTTAGAGTTAGCCAAGGATTCTTGCGAAGATCACTGACTTGTAAGCAAATAGTAATTTTAGCATCTTTTTTTTTTTTTTGTATTTATTACATTTATTTATTGTGTGTGTGTGTGGCCAGCTCAGCCCACCAGGGGGCGGTAACCAGGGGGCGGGGCTGGCTGGCATGTGGTGCTGGAGGATTGAACCGCGGTCCTTGTGCTTTGCCAAGCTTGTTTCAAGTAGGTGCTTTAGACCACTGAGCCATCTCTCCAGCCCTAATTTTAGCATCTTATTGCTAATGCTATACTTTCCAGATCTAAGAAGCTAGCCCAGGTTGCAGACACTGGCAAGGCTCTTGATAGAGTAAGTAGGTAACTAGATATGAGCCAGAGCTAGGAAACTGGCAGCTGTGCCTAGGGAGCCCGGACTGGCACGACATAGACCATCACACAACCCAGGCTGATGCTGAACTCCCATTACACTCTGAAGTGAGCTTTGAAATTTTTTATTTTTTTTTTAAATAATTTTATTGGGGCCGGGGAGATGGCTCAGTGAAATAAGCACTTCCCTGGCAAGAGCAAGGGCCTGAGTTCAATCCCCGGTTCCGCCAAAAAAATAAATAAATAAATAAATAAATAAATAAAAAATAAAAAATAATTTTATTGAGAAACAAATAGCAATGAGACCGTTTCAAACCCGTTTCGTAGGACAGTTTCAATAATTAATACATTGCATATTGTCTTAGTGGTTATTCATTGTACAAGATGCAGACATGATATCCTGTCCACAAACACTATTAAAACAAATCTTTCTATTCATTGAATTAAGAGAAAGTAGCTGTATATCTATCCTATTTTGAGTATTCAGATACAAAATGGTCATTCTCCTTTTTTTGTTTAGTTGTGTCAGAGAAGGGTATTCCATTGTCATTTAAATATTGTAGGTGTGTGAGTTCAGCAAAATATTCCAATATAGTGCAGTAGTCCATAATAGTAGTGGGTTTTCCATAGGACTGGCAATGTCAGAAGTTGTTGACTTCAGTCTTTTACAGCTCAGCATATTAATATGGCTTTCCTTTTTATGCCTTGTGTTTATACTTTTCTTCTGGATGGTTAAAACCAAGATAAAGCAAGACCTATATAACAAGAAATGTAACTTTTGTATCTGATAAGGTCACTCAAATGCCCTCAGGATTTATCCTGAAACCCTGTGCTGCAGTTTGTAGATCCTCTGTCAGTGTCAGCCATATGGATGAGTCAAGGCCATTGCTTGACCAATTTGCTCTCTGTGAAAGACTGAGAGAATGTTTTCTCTCCATGTCACTCTCCTTAGGCACACTCTACATCATCCATCATTTTCCTCTGTGGCCGCATAATCTCCTTGATCAGAAAATTTGGGACACAACTGAGTTACAGGATGTTAAGGTCTCCTATGTCCTGAGTCTTCACTGACCTTGAAACGCTAGGGCCAAAATGTTGGCTGTCCTTACAGCCCTTCTTTTTCTCTAATTTTTGGTCTGTAAACTTAGGTTGTGAACCCTCCAGAAGAGAAGCTTATTATTATTACCCTACAACATAGGCAGTTGTAGGGTAATAATACCTCACTGTCTGAATATCAAACACCTTAGACATAACATGGAACAGGTATTTTCCATCAAGTATTGATATGTTAAACTTTAAGTCCCTAGAGAATGAAGAAAAAAATTAAAAAAAATAAAAATAGGAATAAACAATTATGCATTTTTACACAGAAATTTAGAAATCTAACCATATTGAAATTTTTTACTTCTGCCTCAAAAGCATTTTGGAAGGAAAAACAACATCCACATAAACCTGAGATACTTTGGAAATGGTGAAAGTTTATTGGTAGGGTGGAAAGCAAAGGTAATGGGAAAGATTGCCTGGGAAGAGAAAAGCCAAAACTTTTAAGTTCAAAACCTAGGTGCAATATCGTTGAGGTTTATTCTAGTATTATCTATATGCAACAAGAATGAAGAATTGTAGATACATTTGTTCCTTTTTTCAACTTTAGCCCATATGCAACTGGGTGTTTGTATAGAGTGGGCCAAATAATGGCTTAAGAATCCGCCTGAGGGCAAGCTTCCCCTCCAAGAAACCCTGAGGAACGGACTGCCAACTGGTGATTGAGAAGGCAAAATAACAACAATAATATATGGCCAGGGAGATAGCTCAGTAGAGTAAGTGCTTGCCTGGCAAGCACAAGGTCCTGAGTTCAATCTCCGGTATAGCAGGAAAAAAAAATGCATTTTCACAAGTTAGCTGGACCTGTGCCTCAAAGAATGACTACCATGGCTGCTATTTTTTCTGGGTAAAAGGCAGGTTAGCAAGTACGATATGTGCTAGTGTGACATGTCCCGATTTGACAACCTGGTTTAACCACTCAGCGTTGATGCGACTTTGGACAAGTTATCAAGTCTTTCCCTTAATGCTCTCTTCCCTAAAGCCCAGTGGTTAAGGCGACAGGCAGATACCAAGAAAGCACACAGCAAGTGTGCAAGTAACTATTATGAAATCTCCAGTGGAATAAGGAAGTGGAAAAAAATGAATGCTCCATCACACAACAAATTAGTGATTCAGTTAGGACTACAGTACTCAATTGGAATACTATACAGCTCTCCTGATTCGCAGCCCAAGACTCCATTCTTCCTTCAGTCCTCAGAGTTCCTAGATGTTCATAGCAAGGAAGGGTTGACCGAGTTGCACAGGAAAAGACAGGCACAAGGGTTTGAGGGTCGAATCCTAGCTTCTCTATACTCGTGAAACTGACGCAAGTATCCCTGCAGAAGTACTAGTTCTTCTGGAGTTGCAGGATATCTCGTTCCTAGGAGGAAACCTTTTCTATTGCATCTTGGGAGTTGTGGACGGCCCCGATGCATGTAGGGATAGTAGTCCTTTCCCTCCCCCGCTTCAAAAGCCACCTTCGCGCCATCTTTCCCAGCAAGCTCCGCGCCAGCCCCGGCCGCTGATTGGCGGCAGCGGGAGCAAGCGGCCCAGCCGGCAGCGGTTCCAGGGGTTTCCGGTACAAAGCCAGAAGGTGGACGCCGTCGGAGGACGGCGTTGGGATGCGAGAAGCGCGCGGGTGAGACGAGACGCTCTGAGTGTGTGGACTAGGACACATCTGTCAAAGGAGGGGCATCATGCCGGTTCAGCGAGTGGGCCGTGGCGGGGCCGGAGCATTGCGCATGCGCGGGCGTGCCAAGAGGCTAGAAGGCGCGCGGGGTGTGGGTGGCTGCGCGCGCGCATGGGCCCACGTGGGGCGGGGGGGCGGGGAAGGGTCGGGACTCGAGCGTCCCTCCACGTCAGTCAGCCGCCGGGAGCCAATCCCGCGCTGCGCCTGCCGTGAGGGGCCGTGTAGTGCCGAGAAGTGGCTCTGGAAGAAAAGAGGCCTTTTTCTACTCTCTCCAGGAGCAGTGCCCCGAAAGCCTGCTAAGGCGCGCCAGGGTCCCCCTGATCACCCAGAGACTGAGTGAAGGCCAGCCCGTTTGTTTTAAGAAGCTTTGTGTTCCTGGTGTTGGGATTTCGGATCCAGGCTGTGAAGAAATTTGAAGTCTGGAAAATAGCAACTGTACACGTTCTTAAGGATCTACTCCAAACCTAGCACTGCATATCACAATGAAGAACCAAGACAAAAAGAATGGGGCTGCCAAACAATCCCACCCCAAAAATACCCCGGGGCTGCCGGAAACAGGACCAGAGGGACTCCATGGGAGGCCCAGCCAGTTGCCTCCTGCTACAGAAGCTGAAGGTTCCACCAGCCAGGCTCCTGGGAAGACGGAGGGTGTGTGCCAGCTCTGCTTTTCCAGCGGGCAGGGGGAGGAGTTTGTGGTGCTGGCTTCACTTCTGGAGCAAGAGGCCGAGGCCACTGTTTACCCAGGAAAAAGGAAATGAATGAGAGCAGATAGTGCCCAGCAAGGGGAAGTGGCAGGGCTTCCCACTCAGCCCTAGAAGCTACTTGGAGCAGGCCCTGACAGGATCAAGTCAGATGACACAGTCAAAGGAGACTCCCCACAAAAAAGCCCTGTCCCATCAGAAACATCTGAGTTACGGTAGGCAGTGGCCCTTCATAGTAGAGGCAATACTGTTCTATTTGAACAGCAAAAAATAGCTTTTGTGGAGAAAGATACAGACTAGAAGTTGAGCTGCTGCATGCCAGCCCTATATAACTAAAGCTAATAGGATTTACATATTTGATTTATTTATACCCCTACCAAACATGTTTGGGCAATAGTAAGAAGCTGTTGTGTCATTTTATAAGTAAACAGAGGCCTAAATAAGTTAATTAACCCAGACTGGTGAGTTTGGCTGGCCTGCAAACATCTCAACCGGTGGTATAATTATTTTATTTCTAATTGTACTCTATTTCTCATCATTTCTTGCTGTAGGAGCTCAAGCCAAAACATCTCCGTCTGGAGCCCTCCGTGATGTCTCTGAGGAGCTGAGCCGCCAGTTGGAAGACATACTAAGTACGTACTGTGTGGACAACAACCAGGGTGGCTCAGGTGAGGATGGAGCACAGGGCGAGCCCACTGAACCTGAAGATGCAGAGAAGTCCCGGACCTATGCTGCAAGGAATGGGGAGCCTGAGCCAGGAACTCCAGTAGTTAATGGTGAGAAGGTGACTTCCAAGGGGGAGCCAGGCACAGAAGAGATCCGGGCGAGTGATGAGGTCGGAGATCGTGACCACCGAAGGCCACAGGAGAAGAAGAAAGCCAAGGGTCTGGGTGAGAGGGGGAAGTTACTTATATGGCTGGTGAAGGGAGGGAGTTGGGACCTGTCATTTCATGGGCTAGACTGTTCTGCCAGGATTCAGACGAAACTACTTGAAGTACAGCAGATCTCCCTAGTTTCATCAAAGCCAGAAATGCAGGATCACAGCACTGGAGTGTACTGTGTCAGGTGTGCTGACTTTTTGAGCCCATGGGGGCTGAAATCCAACCTCCCCTCTGAGAAAATGGAGAGCAGGAAATCTAGGTAAACCCTGGGCCACTGAGCACCACTTCTAACCTATTGTGTGCTGTTGAACATGTCCTTGTCCAACCTGGGTCTTAGTTCTCAGTTGTCTACACTAAGAGAATTGAACTAAACCATAATTGAAACTCAAACACCTACATAAGCCAGGCTGTGGTGGAGACTTCATAAGGATAAAGAGAGGACCTGCTTTACCTAGAAGGTTGACTGTCACCTGGGTAGTTCCATGTTCTCAACTGACTTGTTGAATAGTTGACAAGTAAAATGGTAACAGCAAAAATAGACATAGACATCCTTGGGGTAAGCGGATGGAAGGATCCTTAAAAGAAAAAGTGACAGGCAAAATATATCTATATCTATTTATTTGTCTATCTTTAGAACGTAGATGAAGGGCTGGGGAGATGGCTCAGTAGAATAAGCGCTTCCCTGACAAGCGCAAGGGTCTGAGTTCAATCTCCGGTTCCGCCAAAAAAAAAAAAGAACCTAAGTGAGGTGACAGTAAATAAATTAAAAGGTTGTCCCCTACCCCTTACTGGTTTTAATTTATTTGCTTGGGGGGAGGTGCTACTAGGACTAGATCTCAGGACCTTGCACTGTGCTGCTAAGCTATGTCCCCACCCCTACTGGTTCTAATTTAAAAATTGCCTAGTAAAGCAGGCAATTTTTCCTCCTACCAGTGGTACCCACCAAGGACATTACACAAGGATTTCATCACTCATTTGGTAAACATTTAATGAAATAGCATGTGCTTTGGGAACATTAAAACAGAACTGGTTTGAGTTGGTCCCAGCCGTCATAAAACAACTAGCCTAGCAGGGAAGGCAGCCAGATCAACAAGGAAAATATAAAGTATGATAAGAGAGGGCCAGCTAGGCATGATGGTACCCACCTGTACTATAATCTCGGCACTCAAAAGGTTGAGGCAGAAAGATGGTCACAAGTTCAAGGCCAGCCTGAGCTACCCTGTCTCAAAAAAAAAAAAAACAAAAAAAAAAACAGCAGGCTGCCTCAGTGCTTATAAGATAGACCCTCCATCTAAGGAAAGAATGCATGCCTTTGTTCCCTGTGCTTTACAGGGAAGGAAATCACATTGCTGATGCAGACACTGAACACGCTGAGTACCCCAGAGGAGAAACTGGCAGCACTGTGCAAGAAGTATGCTGAACTGGTCAGTTTGCCCCTTCTGCTGCTGCCCTCCCTGCCTTTGGAAAGTCATCAGGCCACTTGATATGGGGGTGGGGATGCAGAGGGAGGTGGCTGGCCTAATTCCTGTTCGACCTTTTAAAAATTTTATTGCATTATTGTGTGTACATGTGTAGTATATAATGTTTGCATTCACTTTAGGGAGTAGGTTCATGTACTTAACATATCAGTTGTTTTTACTGCGCTTTCCCTCCCTTCCCTGTCTCTAGATCCCCCTCCCATATTTTCATTTCTTTGTTGTTTTTTGTTTTTGGGGGGTTTTTTTGGAACTGGGGATTGAATTCAGGCCCTTGGGCTTGTCAGGGAAGCACTTATTCCACTGAGCCATCTCCCCAGCCCCTCTTTGTTTTTTTTTGTCTTGTTTTTTAGTTCACATTTGCAGTACACTTGATTGTAGGTAATTGGTACATCTACACAACACATCTTAGTGCTTTCCGTGCGTCATTCCCTTCCTCAGCAGCCTTTCTTTGAACCTTTCCCCCATCTGTTGGATGGGGAGTCATTTTTTAGTCATCTATTTCAGGACTGACATTAAGAGGGCAAACTTAACTGTCCGTGGAAGAAGTTTTTCAAAGAATGACTCCCAGGTGATAGAGCTATAGCTCCTGGCCTGAGTCCCAAATACTGTGTGATCTTGGTCTTACATGCTTCTCTGTGCATCTTCCTGAAGTATAGAGGTGTGGTGCTGTTGTCACATTTGAAATTAACAGTATTCATTTTCATTTTACTTCAGAGCATTTCTTCATTTCATGACCTTCTTTTCCCTCATGACCTTGACTTCATGCAAACCACATTGTTCTGTATGATGTCCCACCTCTAACTTTGTTGATTATTCATTTACTTCCTTAGTTCCTATAAGTAAAGTGGAATTTTAGCTCTAGAGCTTGATTCACTCAGGACCCTGTGCTTGCCAGGCAAGCGCTTATTCTACTGAGCCATCTCCCTGGACCCTGAAGAGCTTTTTTTTTTTTTAATTTATTTATTTATTTATTTGTTTGCTAAGTGCTCTACTGCTGAGGTACAT